TCAAGGACATTGTGTTCCAAAATAAGATTCAGATTTTGGTGTTGCTAGAGACTAAGATTAGTGGAAATAAGGCTGCTAAAGTGGTCAAAAATTTGGGCTTTGATAGTTTTTTTCCTTAGAGAGGCTGTGGGGTTTTCTGGTGGGATATGGATCCTATGGAATAAAAGCCTAGCTAGTGTTAATATTTTAGAGGAGGACCATCAATTTGTTCACACCAATATTCGATGGCTAAGTTCAGGGAGTGAGGAATTGTTCACCTTCATATATGGCAGTCCTAGAAGGCTTGAGAGGAGGTGCCTTTGGGATAGCTTGAGGAGAATTGCTGAGAGTTGTGGTGGGAAGTGGGCTGCGATGGGAGACTTCAATGCTTATCTTCTGGAGAGGGAGAAGTTTGGGGGTTCTGGTGTGTGCTGGGATACCATGCTGGAGTTTGATAATTGCCTGAGTGAGTGTGGTCTCTCTGATTTGGGGTTTTCTGGCCCTAACTTCACTTGGAGGAGAGGGAATCTACAAGAAAGACTTGATAGATTGGTGGTGAATGAAGAATGGCAGTTGGGGTTTCCTAACAGAACCATTGGACACCTTCATTTTAATGGATCAGATCATAGGCCTTTAATTCTTAAGGACAGCAGTTTGAGTGGAAATACTGGTGGACCCAAACCTTTTCGGTTCTTAGCTGCCTGGTTAACCAACTCAAGCTTCAAGGATGTGGTAGGGAGTTGCTGGAATAACGAGGCTGATTGGTTGCTTGCAAAGGACAAGTTTCATAGTGAGGCTTCAAACTCGCACCACAGTAGATTCAAGGAGGATCAAAATAAGAAATACCAGATTCAAAGGAGGATCAGAGGAGTGGATATTCAATTGAGCAGGGGTCCAGATGAGGCTATGGACAGGTTGCATAGGTCTTTGTGGAAAGAGCTAAATACTATTTACATCCAAGAAGAACTTACTTGGTTCCAAAGGTCTAGATGTAATTGGCTAGCCTTTGGAGATAGAAATTCCAAGTTCTTTCATGCTGCCACTGTTGCTAGAAATAGGAGGAATAAGGTTTTAGCTCTTAAGAAGGAGGATGATGTTTGGGTGGAGGATCCTGAGGAAGTGAAGGCTATGGCTATTGATTTTTTCAGAAGTCTATATGTGGAGGAGGATAATATAAACACTTATCTTAGTGGCAATTTTTTCCCTGTGATTGACAATGTGAGTTGGAGAAACATTGGTACAAGTCCGAATGTGGATGAGATCAAGAATACCATTAGGAAGATGCACCCTTATAAAGCTCCAGGGGCTGATGGGCTCCATGTTGTGTTCTTCCTGTCCCAATGGGATAGGGTGGGAAATTCGGTGGTCAAGCTCATTAAGGATATCTTTAGGAACCCGAATTTGGTGGCTGACATTAACCAAACTCTAATTTTCCTAATCCCTAAGGTGGAGAATCCAGAAAGGATTAGCCAGTTTAGACCAATTAGCTTATGCAATGTGGTGTACAAAATTATCACAAAGATGATTGCCTTGAGACTGAGAAATCATATGGGGACCTTGATTATGCCGAACCAATGTAGTTTTGTGAAGGGAAGACATGCTTCAGACAATATTATAATTTGCCAGGAAATTTTCCACTCTATGAGATCAAAGAAAGGCAAGAAGGGTTGGATTGCTATCAAGGTGGATTTGGAGAAAGCAAATGACAGGGTTAGTTGGAAATTCTTAGAGGAAACTCTGATCTTGGCTGGTTTGGCTGAGGGGTTGGTTCAGCTCATTATGGCTTGTGTTACATCTTCCACTATGGATATCTTGTGGAATGGGGAGAAGACAGAAGAATTCAGACCTCTAAGGGGCATTAGACAAGGAGACCCTTTGTCTCCTTATCTATTTGTGCTCTGCATGGAAAGGCTGGGACATCTCATTAATGCTGTTGTTGACCAGAAAAGCTGGAAGCCTGTGAGATTGGGAAAAAAAGGACCTCCAATATCCCACTTATTTTTTGCAGATGACTTACTGTTATTTGCTGAAGCTGGAAGTGATCAGGCAATTTTGATAAATTCAATTCTGGAACAGTTTTGTGAGGCTGCTGGGCAAAGGGTGAGCATCAGCAAGACAAGATGTTTCTTTTCCAGGAATGTAAATCATACAAGACGTAGTGAATTAAGCCAGATTTTGAACTTTGGTATTGCTGCTGATTTAGGTAAGTACCTGGGTATACCTATTTTGCACACCAGAGTTAATAAAAACACCTTCGGGTATATTCTGGATAAGACTAATAGTAGATTGAATGCTTGGAAGGAAATATCTTTATCCATGGCTGGTAGAGTGGTCCTGACTAAAGTTGTGCTTGCGGCTCTCCCTAGCTACTCAATGCAAACTTCCCTAATTCCTGTTGGGCTTTGTGATGCTGTTGAGAAGAAGATGAGAGGTTTTGTGTGGGGATCAAGTGGGGACAAAAGGAAAATGCACGCTGCTCCATGGAATGTATTATGCAGAGCGAAGGAGGATGGGGGCTTAGGCATCAGGAATTTAAGGAGGACAAACAAAGCCTACTTGATGAAAGTAGGACATGGTTTATTATCTCAGAGGAACAAGCTATGGGTTCAAGTGGTGAGGAACAAGTATAAGGTTGGGGAGGGCCTTATCCCTGATATACCCAGGAAAGCTGGTAGCTCGAATATGTGGTTAGGAATTTCCAAAGTTTGGCCTATGGTGGTTGATGGTTCAAGAATCCGGATTGGAGATGGCACTGGTACATATTTTTGGAAGGATAAATGGCTATCTATTGGCCCCTTGGTGGATTATGCTGTTCAAGAGATTCCTCTAAACTTCCTTGAGGGTGAGGTAGCTTCTACGGTAGATTCTAAGGGTGACTGGAAGTGGGAGGAGCTCAGGAATATTTTGTCTCAGGAAGCCTTAAGTGTTCTTGCTGGTATATGCCCCCCTAGTCTGGATGCAGAAGCTGATAGGGTGATCTGGGAAGATTCCCAGGATGGAAATTGCAGTATTAAATCTGCATTTAAGCAGTTGGGGGATGAAGAGATAAATCATGATCAGGGTAAGTGGAAAACAGTGTGGGAGTGGGATGGCCCTCCTAGAGTCAAGACTTCCCTTTGGATGTTGATGGGAGAGAACTTACTCACGAATCTAAGGAGAGTCCAGAGGCATTTGGAGGTCTCATCAACTTGCCCCAGATGCAGCATGGAGCCTGAGTCCTGTCTACATGTTGTAAGGGAGTGTTACTGGTCTAAAAAGGTATGGATGAATTTGGTGAAACCTGAGTTGTGGCATGAATTTTGTACCTTACCTTTTCTTGACTGGCTTGTTATTAATCTTGGGATGAAAGATTGTATGGTGGGAGGGAGTAATGGAAATATTCTTTTTGGACTGGTTTGTTGGTTTCTTTGGAAAGAAAGAAACAGGTTAGTATTTGACAATATAATGCCAAGGGAGGGAGATACAGAAAGAGTGGCATCTTCTTATCTCATGAATTTTGTTGAAGCTCGTGAGCTGTATTGCAGATCTGGATTGTAAAATAGCATGAGGAGGGAAATTCAAGTTCAGTGGCTGCCTCCCCCTGTAGGATGGGTAAAAGTGAACTCAGATGGGTCAGCAAACAGAAGCTGTATGAATTGTGGCTGTGGTGGAGTATTGAGGGATGCTTCTGGTAAGTGGTTGAAAGGCTATGTGCGCAATCTGGGAAGTTGTAGCTCGGTCATGGCTGAGATGTGGGGAGTCTTGGTGGGAATGCAATCAGCCTGGGAGCTTGGGTTTAGGAAAATTGTTGTTGAAAGTGATTCTCAGGTTGCTCTTAGTATGATAAAGGATGGTGTTGCTGAGGGGCACAATCTTAGGGGGCTGTTTAATAAGATTGACGCTTTGAAGAATTATGATTGGCAAGTAGAATTCTCTCACACTTTCAGAGAAGGAAACAGGGTGGCAGATTGGTTAGCAAACTTTGCTACCACTAAAGGGTGGGAGACAATGCTCTTAGACTCGCCTCCGGAGGAATGTGTTAGCTTATTATGTGATGACTTTAGGGGAATGGCCTGGTCTCGTGTGACTAAAGGGCTGTAGTTGGTTTTTAATTTCCTTTGTATTCAAAAAAAAAAAAAAAAAAAAACTCACTTTCAACATTCCTTTTAACATTGCTTATTAGAAAAGATAATGAATCTCCCTAAAATTATCACAAAAATTCTTAAGCATACTTGCTCAAAAAAAAAAAAAAAAAACTGTCATAATATATAATGGCAACGAAGTTGAACTTATCAAAATCATTTCATACACTAGCATGGCAAAACAGTTACTCTTACAATTAGTTTTCTACGCTTCCTTTTTTTTTTTACATGGACGAACACTGACCCTATACAAATTATGCAAGTCCTTTACGGACTGTCTTTTCCTTTTTTTAATACTTTTACACACTTCCCTTTTACACATGAATAAAAATCAAACCAGAAATTCTGAAGTATACTTGCTCAAGAAAAAGTATGCCATGATCGATAAGGGTAACCAAAAGTTGCATTGCAACAAATTCAGTATCAATTTTAAACTGCCCTTCTTCATGCTTGAACAGATCGCTAATATTTGAGAATCATGACCATTTCTCATAAAATCCACTAAAGTAAAGAAATTATCAATGGCCTTCATAGGCTTCCTCATCATGCCCTCACGAAATAGTGTATGCAAGCCATTGTTCTCAGATACTTGTGATACCTTTGGCCATCACCACCAGAGCTCAGCAAATGCTGTCCATACTCAAAAGCTAAGAAACTGATTGTTCTATTCATCTTTAGAGCAACAACTAATTCATTTTTTTTTTTGGTTGAAAACATACAAAACAATAAAATATATCCTTTATTACCCACGAAGGATATCATTTGAGAATCAGGGAGACACCTCAAAAACTACCATACTCTTCTCCTTACCAACCAAAGGACCTACTCTTTTAAATTCAACTTTAGCCTCAACTAAATAAATAAAACTTTTAAGTGGATACACACCAACAAAAGTTGATACAAAAAAAATGGTTTCCATTAATAAAATATTCAGCCATACAAGATTCACCCATACATCTGCTAGAAAAAACAAACTAGCACCACAAGAAATAGAAAATTGGAATTTGTCATCTAATATAAACATCTTGTAAGTTGTAACAATCAATATCGCTCGCGGTTCAGGGACATTTCTCATGAGGATGGCATCTTGGGTAGTTCCAGCAATTTCCACACTGTCAGCAAACCGTGTCTCCAGTGAAAAAAAGCCCACCAGGACCTATTTCTAATGATTGAACTTCTTTCTCGGCAAATATTCGACCCATCTCAGAAAATCTGTAAAAGTAGACATGGTAAGGGACTGCAACAGTTTCCCAACGCAGATATATAACAAAAACTGTTACTGAACAAAAAGGACACAAGTTTGAGTTCACTTACGATGGCAATTCATACAGGTGAACTGAATTGTCTCTGCAAGAGCAAAACAGTATATTCTTGTCTTCTGCATCAGTCATCCCACTAAGTGCAAGAACACCCTATAATAAAAGTACAAAGTATGTAAATGGTGAATCAACTAAGTACTTCTCTACCAATTATAAAAAAATATCTACAAATGAAAATACAACCCAATGATATTTGACATAAAATAAAAACTTTACTTTATGCACAGATGTTATAGTGGTAACGCAACTCACATTTTCCTCAGAGTGCGTATATGTCACTTCAAAAGTTCCCTCTTCGGTGGCAGTCCAGACCTTAATTGTGCAGTCGTATGAACTTGATAACAAATAATTGTGCCAACAAATAAGGGATGTGACTATGTCAGTATGCCCATTGAGGGTCATTTTACACTCTAAAGTATCAAGGTTCCAAACCTGAAGAAAACAAGTTAAAAAATAATCCTTTCAGAAAAATTACAAAGTAGAAACAAGCAACATGAGTTGAGTAGCTAAGATAGAAAAACAGTATGCAGCCTGAGATTCATAATGAAGAAAACATCAACCAAAAAACACAAAATTAGTCAATTTCAACGTTACACGGCAGAAAGACCAAGAACATTTTAGCAATTACTATGTCATTACGAAGAACTAAAAAGATGGTTTTAAAATTGTTCAATCAGTGGCCCAGTGAAATCACCTATCTTTTAACATGCTCCACATGGAGTACAACATACATTTAAAAGAAAATAAAAAATAGAAATGTTGAGGAACAATATACATACCATTATGCTATGGTCCATGGACCCAGAGTACAGCTTATTTCTACCAACAGTCAGACAAACCACAGCTTTAGTGTGGCCACTTGGTGATTTAATCAGTTCAAAAGGGGAAATAGCTTCAGAGCTGCCTCTCCATGCAGAAATTACACCATCCTACAATTAAAATCATCGGATGACATAAATCGACAGTTACAGAATAGAGCTGTTCAAAAGTAAGAGAGAATTCTGATTATTAATTACAGAAAGGAAAAAAAGTCTAAATAGTAATAAATAAAGACCATAAACCGCTGTATGGGAAGTTACCTCTGCTCCAGCAAACAGTGTATCATTGCCAACAATCATGGCAAGAACTTGCCCCTTAGGACCATTAAGAGTAAACTCAGAAGCAGTCTGAATATTCCAAGCCTTCACAACAACCAGAACCACATTATCAGCTTACATGTAATAATGCTACTATATATAAGACATGACAGCACAATGAAACAACTCGAAAACTGAAGTTAGAGCTTACCCTTACAGCGCTCCGCACCCCAACAAAAACCCATGGGCTCTCACTGATGAAGGAGGTAATTTCAACACCAAGATTTATCACATCAGCACATCGACCAGAATGACAGTCCCACATCCGAACTGTCCCATCAACGCTGCCAGAATAAAGTTTATCTGATCCAACTGGAAGTGCAATCCCAGTGACAACCTATTGTCAAAAGTTTTAGTTTAAGTAAATATTAACATAAAAGAAAACCACAAAATTTTTAGCATTTCCTAGGAAACTTGGGTTTGCACCAATCGAAACCATAAATCCAATATACAATAGAAGAATATAAGAAGAAGAGTATATATTAAGAGTAGATTTTTTTTTTGCAACGTTATTAAGTAAGATGGTGTGAATGGAGTTCTTCTAAACGAATACGAATTGAGATTTTTTACCGGAGCGCGAAAATAGGATCCACACAAGGAAAAACACTTGCCATTTGTTGGTTCCACATAATCCAAATAAAAAGGTAATTTGTTGTTACAATAGAAGAAGTGATATCGATTATTCAAGAATCGAAGTCGAAAGAGTAATTTGAAAAACAATCCGGCTCACTCTTGGTTCATTTGGATGTTGTTGGTAGTTCCCAATTTAAACACCATATAGTTCAATTATAAAACTCAGTGATTATAATTAGTAATTATTAAAAGTATCAGTAAAAAATTAATTCAGATGACATATCAAGTTTAATTGAATTAATTTAGATACCCATCCTAATATACAAACCAATGCTAATAAAGAACAATTCTACAAAACACAGCATTGATATACATGCACGTGTTTGTTGTACTGAATACAAAAAGTGAGTATTAGAAAAAGAACCTTCTCATGCTCTTGAAGGTTTGCTACTTTGGAAAGCCTATCACCATAAAACCATGAATGTAAATTCTGGCACTGGTCACCATGTGCGCAATTGTCCTTCATCCAGTATCTGCAGATGCTTTGTGACGGCTTTTGAGAAACCACACTTTCGGATGAAGCCACACTTTTGGACTGAGAAGCCACACTTTTGAACTGGGAAGCCACACTTTCAGATGAAGCCACACTTTTGGACTGAGAAGCCACAGTTACATTTGTCCCATCTCCTCCATCATCATTATTTCTAACATATACTCTCCTTGATTTATACCGAGGGATCTTCTCGTAGGAAGAATTGGGCTTCCTTTGATAAAGTTAAATGTAAAAGAATATGTTGTATATTGATCTGTGTCAGGGAGTTACAATATATAGAGACCCTAATGGGCTTAAGTGAAAGGCCCAAACCTAATCCTAATACAGTCAGAATATTTACGGATAAGACGGAATCCAATCATATCTAATCATATCTAATCGTATATCATATCTAATATTCTAACACTCCCCCTCAAGCTGGTGCGTATATATTATGAGCACCAAGCTTGTTACAAATGTATTCAACCCGAGGACCTCTAAGAGCTTTAGTGAAAACATCTGCTAGTTGATTAGACGAGTTGACAAAAGCTGTCTAGATTTCTCCTGACTGAATCTTTTCCCGAATGAAGTGACAATCAATCTCTATATGTTTGGTCCTCTCATGAAAAACAGGATTAGAGGATATATGTAGCGCAGCTTGATTATCACAGATGAGTGTCATGGGTTGTTTCTGTTCACAAAGATGAAGCTCCTGAATCAACTGCTTTAACCAGATCAACTCACAGGTAGTATTTGCCATTGCACGATACTCAGCTTCTGCACTAGATCGGGAAACAACAGGTTGTTTCTTGCTTTTCCATGAGAATAAGTTTCCTCCGAAGAAGACACAATAACCAGAAGTAGAGCGTCTGTCCGAGGGTGATCCTGCCCAATCGGCATCTGAGTAACCACAAATTTCTGTATTTCCTTGATCCTAATACAACAAACATTTTTCTGGTGCTCCTTTGATGTATCGGAGGATCCTCACAGCAGCATCCCAATATGAATCACAAGGGGAATCAAGGAACTGACTAGCCGTACTGACAGTGAAAGAAATATCTGGCCTAGTCACAGTAAGATAATTGAGCTTCCCAATCAGCCTTCGATAACGTCCAGGATCAGATAACGGCTCCCCTTGTCTGGGCAATAACTTAACATTAGGATCTATGGGTGTATCAACTAGTTTACACCCCAACATACCAGTCTCTTCTAGGATATCCAAGGCATACTTCCTTTGACAGATAGAAATGCCCTGTCTAGATTGCGCCACCTCAATTCCCAAGAAGTAACGCAGCTTCCCAAGGTCCTTTGTTTGAAATGCACTGAATAAATGTTGTTTTAACTGACGGATTCCGTCTTGATCACTTCCTGTGATGATGATGTCATCAACATAGACTAACAAATAGATGCACTTGTTAGGAGATGTAATCCTATAGAATACAGAATGGTCAACTTTACTGCGAATTAGGCCAAACGCCTGTACAGCAGAACTAAAGCGACTGAACCATGCTCGAGGAGACTGCTTGAGACCATATAAGGATTTTGGAAGACGACATACCTTCCCAGACTCCCCCTGAGCAACAAAACCAGGTGGTTGCTCCATGTAAACTTCTTGTAGATCACCATGAAGAAAGGCATTTTTGATGTCAAGTTGAAGGAGTGGCCAGTGACGAACAGCAGCAAGGGCAAGAAATAGGCGGACGGACGCCATCTTAGCGACTGGAGAGAATGTATCGCTATAATCAAGACCAAATATTTGAGTAAAACCCTTGGCAACTAAGCGTGCCTTGAGACGATCAACATGGCCATCAGGTCCAACTTTCACAGTAAACACCCAGCGACAACCAACTATAGACTTCTCTGGAGGAGCAGAAACAAGGTCCCAAGTGCCATTGGTATGAAGTGCGGTCATCTCATCAAGCATCGCTTGGCGCCATCCTGGATGGCAAAGTGCTTCACTTGTGGTCTTAGGAATAGAAACAGAAGAAAGACTAGAAACAAAGGTGAAATGAGGAGGAGAAAGACGATCATAGCTCAAGAAGGTATAAAGAGGATAAGGCTTACGAGTAGTACGTGTACATTTTCTTTGAGCAATGGGAAGAGCCTCTGGTGAAGGATCCGGAGGGGAAGAATCAACTGCAGGGGGCAATGAGTCAGCAGGGGTCGAGTCGACTGGAGGTACTGTGTTACGACGCTGATAAGTGAGAAGTGGACGGTTCTCAGGTACTGGAGCAATAGGTGATTGCTTATCTGGAGTAGAAGCACCTGCATCTGGCAAAGACAAGTCAAGAAAAGGAACAGGAAGAACATGATCAACTTGTGACAATGGAGATGGGATAGAATTAAAGGGTTGTTGATCAAGAAAGGTGACATCAGCGGAAACTAAATAACGCTTGAGATCAGGAAAGTAACAGCGATAACCCTTTTGAAGATGAGAATAACCCAGAAAAATGCATTTAAAGGCTTTGGATGTTAACTTATCCTTACCAGGAGTGAGATCATGAACAAAACAGGTACAACCAAAAACATGTGGGGATAGAGGAAAGAGAAGAACATCCGGAAACAATAAGTTATGAGGAATATCATTATTAAGCACACATGAAGGCATGCGGTTGATGAGAAAGCAAGAAGCAAGGACTGCATCAGCCCAGAAGTGAAGAGGAACATGCATGTGAATAAGAAGAGTCCTGGCAATCTCAATGAGATGTCTATTCTTACGTTCAGCTACTCTATTTTGTTGTGGAGTGTGAGGACAAGTGGTTTGGTGTAAAGTACCCTGTGTGGCTAAGAAATGAGAAAAGTCAACAGAAACATATTCCTTAGCATTATCACTACGTAAAATACGAATAGAAGCACCAAATTGAGTATGAATTTCAGCAGAAAACTTTTGATAAATAGAAAACAACTCAGAACGGTTTTTCATTAAATAAATCCAAGTACAACGGGAGAAATCATCAATAAAGGTAACAAAATACCGAAAACCTAAAACAGACACACTTCGACTAGGACCCCAAACATCTGAATGAATAATTGAAAAAGGAGCATCAGCTCGCTTATTGACACGATTAGCAAAGGAGGAGCGGATGTGCTAACCTTGCTGACATGACTGACAATCTAAAGTTTGAAGACCGGATAAAAGAGGAACCATCTTCTGCAATTTCGCAAGACTAGGATGCCCGAGACGACTGTGGATGAGTTGTGGAGATTCTGTGAGAGAACAAGCAACTGAAGGACTCGGCACATCAAGGTAGAACAGACCCCGTGACTCACGGCCCACTCCAATCATTTTCCCCGTACCCGGGTCCTGCACAGAAACATATTGGTTTGAGAATGTGACAATACAATTAAGAGAATTGATCAATTTACTAACAGATATTAAATTATAAGGGATGTGAGGAATGTAATACACAGATGTCAAGGTCAATGAGGAGGTTGGACAGATTTGTCCAATCCCATGAACGGGGGCCTTAGTTCCATCGGCAAGAGTAAAAGAGGGTAAATTTTCAGAATATGTAAGGGAAGAAAAGAGTTCCTTATTACCACAGAGGTGATCAGTAGCACCTGAGTCAAATATCCAAGGACCAAGTGATGCAGAATGAGAAACACAAGCAACAGGATTACCAGTTTCTAAAGCGGAGGCCTGAGATTGAGGAGAGGACTTCCTGAGAAGGGCCTAGAATGCTACATATTCTTCAGAGGAGAGAGAGATTGTACCATTTGAAGCAGTATCCGATTGAGCTATATTAGCAGCAAAAGAAGGTTGCATGTGAGGATACCTTGTGTAGCAGCGTTCCTCATAATGACCAAGTTGCTGACAGTAATGACAACGAGGTCGCTGACCACGTCCGACTGGACCTCCTGGGCCACGGCCTCCTGGGCCACGGCCTTCTGGGCCTCTACCACGACCACGTCCACCTCCAATATTCCCGCAAAAATCAGTACGAGAAACTAGAGCAGTAGAATCAACAGCAGAAAACAATGCAGGAGCAGATTTCTTATTCAAATTCAGAAGACGCTGATACGTCATGGATAGATCAGGCTCCCCACTAGTCAAGATAGTATCACGAACATTATCATATTCTTCGGAAAGGCCAGAAAGTGTGGCAACCATAAAGAGACGTTCCACCTGTTTCCGATATGCAGTAGCATCAGTAGGGTAAGGCAACATATCCAAATATGCCTGAATCAAAGAGCGACTCTTGCCAATATATGTCTCCATCTGAATGTCAGATGATTTGCTCAATTCCATAAACTGAGAGATGATGAAATAGAGTTGCTGAACATCATTAGTGTAGAGGTTTTTTGCTTCCTCCCATACTTCAGTGCAAGTTTGAAAGGAATAAAAGATATCCAAGACGATCGGATCAATGGATTGCCAGAGGATACTCAGAAGCTGGTTGCCAATCTTTTCCCAATCAGACTTGTCCTCCTTAGGGACATCAGTAGACTTAGTCGTGAGATGGTTCCCATATCCTTGTCCAAAGAACCAAACTCGAACAGAGGTGGCCCAGTTCTTGTAATTAAGAGATCCCTTCAATTTTGAAGAGGTAATGGACCCAATATTGGTAGAGATGATATTGGGAGAATTTCTCACAGGAGGAGATGGAAGACTTGACCTCCGAATGAATTGCAGAGTTTGCTGCCATAGTATTAAATCACAAAGATATAAACCGAATAAAGAGAAACGAACCTGATCACCAATCAAGAAGAGGTGCGCACAAAAAGTCAGACCCACAAAGAACCAACCACAGATCCAGAAAGAGGAGGAGAAGACGAGCTTCTCTGTCCAAGACCGGCCGGAAAAAGCCGCAGGAATAGTGCTCACGCGCCGGCAGAAGGTGGCGCGTGAAGCCCACGCGCAGAGAAGACTGGAGGCGCGTGAGAGCGCGTGACAACTCCGATGGTGGCCGGACTTCCACAGAGCAGGTCGCCGGGAGGAGAGGGTGCTGTTCGCGTTCGTTCCAGACTGAAATCTCGCCGGAAAAGTACTCCGGCAGCCTGAACAGTGGCTGATGGTGGCTCCGGTGACTGTTTGGGGATGTGGACACGTGCAGAAGATGCCTGGAGAGGACTTACAGTCCTTGATGGCTTGCCGGAAGGACGCACGACAAAGAAAAGATGACTCCTAAGCAGTGGGCTTAGGTTTTAAAGCGAAGAACAAGATTTCTAAGCGGAAGCGAGGGTTCCCAGAACGAAATAGCTCTGGTACCAAGTTAAATGTAAAAGAATATGTTGTATATTGATCTGGGGATAGGTTATTGTGCCTACTCCTATTTTACCTACTTTTGCCTACCTCTTTCGTTACGTTCGATTACCATCTCATCCAACGATCCATATTTGTGATATAAAATAAACCTTTTTTTCCCTTTTTTTTCTTCTCACTTTCTTCCATACCTTTTCTCTCTCCTCCCCTTTCTCTCTTCCTCTGCCATATACCTAATTTTTTTCCCTTCTGCCGTCGTGGACCTCAATCTCCTGACAAACTGTTCGATTCTAATGATATTTTTAATCCTTATAAATTAATACGATTGAATCGATGACTAACAAAGAAGTTTTGATGTGATTCAAAGCGGTGGTGCCACAAGGTCGATCTGTTCACAGAATCCTCCTCGTCTCTGCTTCAATATGTCGATCTGTTCTTCCACATGATAGATACTCTTAATTTCTAATAATTAATTGGCTATCCGTATCAACATAATTGTTGGAATGGCACCAATTAACCCTCTTTCCAGATTTTTCCAATATCAATTTTTTTTATTCTTTAATTTTTTTTATTTATTTTGAATCTTTTCCAACTCTGCACAGATCTTTTGAATCACATTAAAACTTCTTTGTTAGTCATCGATTCAATCTTATTAATTTATAAAATTTATGTTGTTCTTCAGATCTAAAAACTTGTTGTGATTTTTCAATCCATTGACACTGGTAATTTGATAAAAACTGATTCAGAAGGAGAAAATTTATATTACAATAATAAAAACAGAGACTAATGTATATTGACGATGATTTCAAATGTTGTGGTAATTGATTTCAAATGCTTCTGCGCCGTTCACCTGAGCAGAGATTAACAATAAAGGAAAAAAATAGGTATATGGCAGAGGAAGAGAGAAAGGGGAGGAGAGAGAAAGGGTATGGGAGAAAGTGAGAAGAAAGAAAGGGAAAAAAAAAGTTTATTTTATATCACAAATATGGATCGTTGAATGAGATGGTAATCGAACGGTAACGAAAGGGGTAGGCAAAAGTAGGTAAAATAGGAGTAGGCACAATAACCTATCCCATTGATCTGTGTCAGGGAGTTACAATATATAGAGACCCTAATGGGCTTAAGTGAAAGGCCCAAACCTAATCCTAATACAGTCAGAATATTTACGGATAAGACGGAATCCAATCATATCTAATCATATCATATCTAATATTCTAACATATAACAATAAGCATTCTTCGCTTTATAATAAGGAGCAGATGGTACGGGTACTGGTGTTTCTCCGTGCAAAAACCTGCAAGGGTTTCTGTTGCATCTTCCAGCAAGCCAATACGCACATGTTGTCCCAACAGTTCGTTCAGTCCTCCTTGCCACTTTCATATCCATAATGCTCTAAAATAACAAACATTCAAGTACCATCCCAAATCAGTCACTCAATGGTATCAATAAAATCCTCCATATCCCATGCTTTCTTCCATAACCTCAATAAAAAACAACAAGCCGCATAATCATTCCCCCATCGAAAACCCAGAACTTCAGCCACTACAATAAACTAAACGACAAACACTGAAACAAAAAGTAAGGCAGAAAACTCGATCGCCGAACTTCGGGTTCGTCAACGTCAAAACCCACAACAGAGTTGGACGAAAGACCAATAATTTAACCTTGTTAAGCCGGCTTAATAGCCGCTACCCTAAAACCCCCTAAATTACCGTATCGCCGATCCTTCATGAAACCCTAATAAATAAATTAAAAGAAACCCTAAAATCGAAACCCCAAAAGTTCCACGAGGGAAGCGCGTAAAATCGAAACCCCAAACCCTAATTGCAGAGAACATAGATTGTTGCAGATGATCCATAATAGAAAGAGATAACCCTAAAAGGGATATTCACGTGCGAAGAAGAAGCAAACCTGAGTGGTGAAAACGCAGCGAATCGTTCAGAGTTCGAAATCGTGATTTATGGGAACAAACGGAGAAATAAGGATTCGGAAGCAAATGAAATGTTTTACGTTTCTATCACTGTGATGTGAGGGTTATTTATTCATAGACTAAACGCGTTTTTAACGGTCGTAATCCTTTCTTTCTTTCTTTTTAATTTGAAATTTGAAATGCTTGAGAAATATCGATTTCATTTTTCACAACAGTTATTTACCTTGCTTCTAATTTATTGTTAAATATGATTTTCTTCGCTTTGTTATTATTAACGAGGATGAGATACGACTTATGAGGTAAAGTAAAATTATTTAAAGTAATTTTTTTATATGATATTATTTATTGAATTATCTTTAGATTTTTTTTTTTAATATCTGTGATAAGCTAAGATAGAGCACTTTCGGACTTTTCTAACAAAATTAAAAATAAAATAAAAAAATGTAAAACTACTTATTAAATATTTTTCATATTTAACGGTCGTTTTTCAAATTTTTGAAAAGAAAATAGTGAAGATTTTGAATTTTAAATGAAAGTTACCACAGGTAAGAAATTTAAACAATGCTGAATAATTCCAGAACAAATAATTTTTTAAAAAAAGTATAACGAAATTTATTAACAGATTGTACATAACTTCCAGGATCATTTTTATATGTCTGAGATAATAAAGGTAAAAAAATTTAAAAATGAATATATAAAAATATAATAAAAGTACGTTTGAATTTTCGTTCTTTATTTCAAATATGTATTAAAACAAATAATATTACTTTTTTTATTTCAAATAGTCGAGTTGAGTCGGCAGAATTACAAGAATGAAAAGAGTTTATAACATAACTGTATACTTAGACATTAAACTAAACTTGAGTGTGATCAAACATAAAATAGAAACATGACTGTTGAAAAAATATAAAAATTTGAATATAAAAATATTCCATTGTAATTAAATTTAGATTAAAGGTTATAAATTTAAGGCTTCCTAATTTGTATTTCATATTCAAGTAAAATATATTTTTTATTTAATTTTTTTAATAAATAGATAGAATCTTTTTCAAAAAAAAAAATAAAGAATATTTAAGAAATAATTTTTTAACTTAAGTTTTAAGTTAAAACTTATATGTTTTATGTTAAGTTTATGTTAAAAAAATAAATATTCAATAAACTTAAGGATATTTTTAAAATATCCAAAAAAAAAAGGATATTTTTTTATGTTAGGAGATTACTATAGAAAGTATAATATCCTTCTATTGTTAACCGAGGAATGTTAATTACTAATTTCCATATCTAATTATATATATATATATATATAGGGTCAGGATCATTTTACACCAGTGTAAGTTACACTCTTAATCTTGTCCGTCAATCCCATTTTTACCTAAAGGCTCAAATTTTTTAGTAATGTGAGCCATTAGATACAAGTGGATCAATGATCAAGATTGAGTGTAAGACTTCTAACTCTTACACCAGTGTAAGAATATCCTGCCTCATATATATATATATATATATATATATATATATATATATATATATATATATAGAAGACTTAGAATGTAAGTCTTACGGAAATTGATTTTATTCTAGGATATTAGAGGGAAAAAAATTACAACAACATAGGGTATTTAGTAACCCTTACAAACTACAAATATTGCATTCAAAATATAAATATGGTCTAATATGAAACATTACAACTACATAAAAAAAGAAATATATCCTCTAATGTGACAAAAAAAAAATGACATAGTCATGTAGAAATATCACAATCATATAAAGGTGAATTAAGGGTTATAATTTTATAACTACCTATTTTAATATTTTCTTTCTCTCTCTTCGTTTGTTACATCCACCTTCATATGGTTATGATTCCCAACATGGCCATGTCATGTTTTTAACATGAGAGAATCCAGATTTGATAAAAATATAGAGTTTATTGGCTAATACTTCTTCATTGCACACACACAACATCTACTTTAGGCTCTGTCCTCCACATCTAAAAGCGTACATTTAATGAGATTTTTATCCCAATAAGATAATAATTTAAAAGGTTTTCGTAAAATTATAGTGTTTCCAATCATAACTTAGTATGAAAAAATCATCAATGATTTTAAATGAATAATATTAACATCATAATATTTGAAATAGTCTAACATCACAAACACATGTATAACATTATCTGGCAAGACATTTTTATAACCATGAATTTTTCTATAGATCGGAGCTCTATACTTTGTAAGGGCATCCTCCTGCCTCATTTTGTCTAAGGAATATATTCCTTGACTCAAGAAATCTAGTTTCTTGACCATACATATATTTAAATTGTCTTTTATGAGTAATTCCATAAACTCTTTAGGCAGACAAATATGCGTATACTTCTAAAAAGAAACAAAAAAAATATAAGTTATAGAAATTTTTATCGTATAAAATTTAGCATGATAATTTACATATAAATTAAAGACATCACATATTAATATAATGAACATACAAAAATGAAAACAAACAATTAAATAAATATATTATGATATTTATCACATATATGGCACTATTCTCATATGCGATAATTATAAATTGCAAAATTATAAAATTGCAGTATAAAACTTAGAACATATATACATAAATATAAAATAATAATATGTAACAATATAATTTGCAATTATAGGAAAAAATTCATCTATATGTGGTTGACCCGAGACTCTTGATTTATTTATCCTAGGAAAAAACCCATCTATACATGAATTAATTAATATTTAATTTATATTGATGCTTTATTAAAAAATAAATTATTGAAATATAAATTGCTATATTATATATTAGTATATATATATATAATTAAAAAGTATAAATTGCTGTAAAATAAATTGACCCTGGATTCTTGATTTAGTTGTTTTAGGAAAAAAATTCATATATATATATATATATATATATATATATATATATAGATTAATTAATATTTAATTTATATTTGATTCTTTATTAAAAATAAATTACTGAAATATAAATTTCTGCTTATAAAATGCAGAAATCTAAATTGAAAAAATATAAATTGTTGTAAAATAAATTTCCAAAATATAAAATGCAGAAATATAAATTGAAAAAATATAAATTGTTGTAAAATAAATTGCCAAAATATAAAATGCAAAAATATAAATTGCATAAATGTAAATTTCTAAAATAAATAACATAAAATAAACTAGAACGTAGTATCCTATCCGGACCGTTAGGGCAAAGAAGAGAAAATGTAAAATAAAATAAAATAACCAATAATACTTCTACGGAGTTTATATTTTAGAAGAAAGTAAAATTATCCCCACCCTTAGTATTTACTTTGACTTTTACTTTCCTTAGTAAGAAAAGTTTTCTCAACTTGAGTAAAATAAAATTCCTTTCTTTTACTCTCCCTCTTTCTTAGTAGAGTTTTCTCTCTGTCCGTCTGTTTGGATCTTCTTCTTTTTTAAGCTAGAAGCTACTTACAAGCATAAGCTAGGCCAAACAAGTTTTGAAAAAAATCTCTTATAATGAAAAAATCTTTTTTATAATAAAGAAAAAAGTTAAAAGCTCCTAGTAGGAGGTTTTTTAAAGCTCTACTTTTCTTGAATTGTGAGCTTCTTTTTTAAAAATGAAGAGCTATAGAGATAGAGAGAGATAGTTTCTTGAAATATGTGTTTTTAAGTAACTTTTAAGTTAAAAAATTTATATAATTATCAAACAGCTTTTAACTTTTTTTAAGCTCTTTGTTTTAGCTTTAGCTTATAAGTAGCTTCTAGCTTTAAAAAGAGATGATCCAAAGAGGTTCTCTAAATTTTCAATGCTCTTCACTTCTTGGTTTCTCTCAATTTGAAAGCAACGACTAATGGTTCATCAAGTTTCTATTTATAGGAAAAATATTATCATACCAATGGTAAAATTAATATGGTAATAGTAAAATGGGTTTATTGTTTATCATGTTGTAAGAGATAATTTTATCTTCTACGCGCACGTAAAAGTGTGTGAGACCCATATTTTTTCTTTCTTCTCTTCATATTGGTTCACATGGACCTCACACATTTTTATGTGTGTGTAAGAAATAATTTTATCTCTTACAACATGAGAGACATTAAACCCTAGTAAAATATTATTTACTTAGCTTACCAAAAAAAAATATTATTTACTTAACAATAATTTAAGAAAACATTCTCATGTGGATGTCTTGGAATTTTATTTACGATAACTTATGGTAGATTTACATATTTTTGGAATGTTATTTATAATAATTTATGATTGATCTATATATTTTTGGAATGTTATTTATAACAATACATGATTGATTTATATGATTTTGGAATGCTGTTTATAATAATTTATGATTTATTTATATATTTTTGAAGTTTTGTTTGTAATAATATATGATTGATTTTTATGTTTTTGGAATGTTGTTTGTAATAAATTATGATTGATTTATAATTTTTTGGAATGTTGTTATAATAATTTTATGATTGATATATTATTATTATTATTATGGGAAAAACATATATCCTTTTAAAGGATATAAATTTATATCCTTTTAGATCCTAACCGTTGATTTCCGTCCATCAACGGTTATAATCTATTGGGTCAAACTTAATGGGCCAAGTTTATTATTAATTAATTAATAATTTTGATCCAATAAATCATAACCGTTGATGGACGGAAATCAACGGTTAGGATCTAAAAGGATATAAGCTTATATCCTTTAAAATGACAGATGTTATTCTCTATTATTATTATTGGGTTTTATATAAAGTAATTGGATGGAATACATATATATTTTATTTCTAAAATTTTTATGTATAATATGGTCTAGCAACTGCTATGATTTAGCTCTGTCCCTTATGGTATATTGTCGTGAAATTTTTTTATCAGTCTTTCCTTCCTACTAAAACAAAGGCAATTTTTATTTCAATATATCTGACATGACTTAGGTTGTGCTATAAATTCTCCGAAAAGGGGTGGAGGACAAGGCACCAAA